AACTCCCCCCTGGTCCTGTTTTTTGATGTCTGCCCCCCCCCCGCACCCCTCCCCCCCCCCAAAGACATGCCTTTGTGCCTTATGCAGAACTGTATGCGCTGCACATTCTTTCCTGTTCTATAGGAGGATTTTTGTAACCCGGTCCTGATGAGTCCACGGAATTCAGCTTAAATAAACCTCAAGATCAGAGTCTGAGCGACTCTCAGACACACAGGACTGTGAAGGCCGCTCCACACGCACGCACACACGCACACACACACACACTCTCTTAGGTTTAAAAACCTAAACTTCTGTAGTTTTCTGTAGACCACAGTGGTGGAGAATTCATTGGTTGTTGTTAATTGTTGGTTGTGTAGAAGCTAACAGGGCTAACTGGGCTAACAGGGCTAACAGGGCTAACCTGCTAACGTTCCAAAATAGGAACATCATCTTTGTGGATATAGAATAAAACGAGTTTGAACCCGTTTTAAATAAAAACAAGGGCAGAGCAGTGATGAGGTGTGTGAACGTGTGAAGAACAGGTTGACGGTTAAAATCTCCACCTCATTCTGTTCACTTTCACTTTCACCAACGTTAACGACCGGTGACTAATCACATTCATTTGTGGATGTGATTAGTCACTGCTTCTCAGCAACCGTCGCCAAAACCTCTAAGAAAGCTGACTGACTTCTTTTTGAAGAGATATGCAAATGAGGTCGGTGTCGTTACAGTTACAGGTCACGTGACACGTCCGACCCTCCTCTCTGATCTAAAGCTTTAGGTTTTGGTGCGAGGCCAAGCTGCCTCACCTGACGTGACTCCCTGACACAGTCCAGCCGTAACCGTCCCTGGAATGTGGACTCACTCCAGTCCAAACATGTCCCACTTTATTTTTAGCAGTTTGTGCAAACTTACAGAAATCAGGTGGAGCACGAACGCATCATGAACATTTACCTCCTGTCAGGACAACAAGTCCGATGTTCCTAGATCCATTGAAGGATTGACATGTTTAATCTGGTCTAATCTGGTCTAGTCTGGTCTAATCTGGTATTTAATCTGGTCTAGTCTGGTCTAGTCTGGTCTAATCTGGTATTTAATCCTGTCATTTGGTCAGAAACATTTTTCAACACCAGGATCCTGCAGCTCAGCTTCACTGGCCGCGGTATAACAGCGCCGAGCGCCTGTTGATCTGGAACTGTACCCTTCCAAATCGGTCACATATTTAACTACCCCAACAGTTACCACTGTGTGCCCCCCCCCCCCATCACGTCCCTGTTGTGATGTAGCTACGTCGCTCACCTACGCTAACACCAACGTACAGCGCTGCTGCGTGAGGACGTATTCGTCCGTTCTGTGTTTTAACGCCGTACGTCGGAACAATGGAACTTTCTTAATACATTAATGGGAGATGGCGATGTAATCACGGTTACACTACTGCCCCCTACTGACCGTTTGTCGTAACACTTTTACAAAGACACTCCAGGCTCAACTGAGCCGCAGGTTGAACACAGTTTAATGAGAAGAACAGAAAAATATGAGAAGAATCCTGG